ATCACACGAGGGGAAACGAAGACCATCAACGGCGTGCCCGTGGTCGTACCTACAAATGGCGGAGGAACACAGATCGTTGTAGATGGTAGCACGGTTGCTCTCAATCCGGTTCCGACGCAAGCTCCCAATCCGGCCCCGACGCAAGGTTTGCCTGTGCTCATTGTTGGTGGGGGGATCGTCACGCCAGATTCAAATGGAAATTACGTTCTGGGATCCGAGACGTTGAAGCCGGGAGGCCCTCCGATCACTATTAACGGGAACACCGTCAGCATGGCACCGGACGGCTTGGCTATCATCAATGGTGCCACACAGACTATCGCAAACCTTCCGGCGCTTACCGGAGCCCCCGCTTTGACGGTCGGCAGTCAAGCCGTCTCAGCAACCGTAGTGGGAGGCTCAACAGTCTTTGTTGTAGCGCCTGGTCAGACGCTTAGTGCAGGAAGCACACTTGTCGTCGATGGCACGACTTACAGCATGCCGGCAGAGGGTCATGGGTCAACCCTTGTCGTCAACGGCCAGACTTCCATGTTGAATGCTGGACAATCAGCAATTACTCTCGACGGCGGGAGATCGGTTACTGCGCAAGTCGTCAGCGGCACGACAGCCTATATTCTCGCTCCTGACCAAACCCTGACACTTGGTGGCGTTCTCACGATCTCTGGGACCACATACTCCATGCCCACGAGTGCATCCGGTTCTGTCATCGTCGTCAACGGCGTCACATCCACTTTGGCTGCCGGTGCAGAGATCACCGCCGCACCAGCCTTGACAATCAATGGCGTGACGTATGCGCACACTGTCCGAGACGGAACAACTGAGTACGTTCTGAACGACGGAACAACCCTCGTACCTGGATCATCTATAGAAATCGACGGAACTATGTACTCTCTAGATGATCAAGGCACGGCCTTGGTCATCAACGGGCAAACCAGCACCATTCCGAAACTTCCAAAGAGCAACTGCGCGAGTACAACACGTTCAGACTCCGCTTCTACAACGAGAGGTCGCGACGCTGGAGATTTGATAGCGAGCGGAATAGGCGAGACAAGCAAGGGAGTCGGACCATCTACACACACCGGCGGTTTGGATAAGTGGATTGAGAGTCTGGTTATTGGCGCGGCGGGATGGCTCACGCTGTTACTGTGAGGAGCTCGGCCACTGAAGGACTTGGAAAAAATTGGGTGGTAACGATTTGATGCATTATCATATAGCGCGGCGCTTGGTACTTTGGATGGGACACAGGGATACATAACGACTCGGGCATACATTGGGAGGACTATGCTCGGCATTTGGGTGGAGCTGGGTATTTTTGGTAGATATTGGTATAATGCGTAATGCTATTAATCTATATACTTGGTAACTCAACTAGAAGATGTATGTGGCGGCATATGCGCGATGGTACGCTAGTCCACGCCGTGATGATTAGGATGTCCTTCAAACTCGTCCAGGACCTCTTCAAGTCCAAAAAGAATCTCCAAGATGGCGTACTAGTACACAAGATCCGTTTGTGATACTAGACGATAGTACGCATGCAAGTCTTGTCAACTCAGCCGTGACTACCTCAAACCAACTTCCCACCCTTCTTGAATAACTCCCATGCCTCGACTAACCCTTGCTTAGTCTCTTCCTGCTTCGCTCGCTGCTCATCACTAGTATCACCAACGGCACACACGCTGCCATCGTATGCCTCGCCTGAGAACAGAACGCGCAAGTTCATCCAGACCGGAACAATATTCGTGTCCGTACCCTTGACCTTCATCTTCTTGAACAGCTCTTTCGCCATCTCACCGCGCAGGCGCTGGACATAGTCCGCCCACTTCTCTTCAGTGCCATTCCTAGTCCACGTCTTCCCGAAGCCTTTGCTAGTCGAGTCCATTTCCAGAACAAGAGTGAGGGAAACAAGACCGCGGTAGTAGTTCTTCATGACGTTGTATCCACCGCTCAACAACCAGTGTAGATCGTAGAAAGAACGGATCTTGATGTTGAGCTTGGTGACAAGACGCTGACATCCGGTAGGAAACAGCCTCACACTGTAGTCGGGTGGAGGGCAGAGCTCGTTGGTTGGTCTAACGATCTCGAACATGTTCTTGCCATACAGTACGGCTTTGGCCTCGGCGAATACTTCTTTGTTCGCGCGGAGGATGTTGATGTTGGTGCGGCCAATGAGCGAGAAGCGGGTTTTGTGACCGTCGACGTGGAGGTGGACGAGCGCGTATGCGATACCAGGGAGGAACTCGCGGCGCTCAGCGTGGAGGAAAGCTTTCTTCTCGTCGTGGAATACGGTGTGCTTTTGGCGGACGCAGATCAGGCCGGGAACGACTAGGAGGTGCGAGTAGATGATGTTGCGAACGGAGATGGGGAGGTTCATGAATGGGAACGGCTCCTTGTTCGAAATGGGGCTGTCAATGGCGAGAGCAAGGGAGGCGAATGGGTCGTGCTTCTCGAGAGCTGTGGGTTTGGCAGTGTACGAGTCTCCTGGGACTGGAGAAGGCAGGTCGAAGTTGCTTGCGGTTGAGGCACTGCCCTCGTCGTCGCTCTTCTCGCGGATCTCGGTGTCGAACGTCTCCTCTGGCTCGTTGAAGAAGACGTCGGGTGACTCTCCCTCGTTGAAGTTGATTGCGTGTCCTGTCTTGTTGGAGTTGGCGTCAAGGTACTCGACGTTACTGAAGCGAACGCGTTTAGCCATACCGCCGGTGGAAGGTGGTGTCATGAGATACGATAGCGGAGGCGTCTGTGGTCGCTCGACTGACGGCTCCATATTGAATGCGGATCGCGATGGGTGTGAGTAGGGTTGATATATGGTGGTTGATAGAAGAGTGAGGCAGGTAGGACCTTAATAGATGGGCGGAGAGAGGATATGTGAAGGTGAGAGAGAGCTATAGTGGGCGCCAGGCGGGGCATCTCCACAATGGGAGAGCTGTGATGAGGTGAAGGTGAACGGTGATGGCTTGCCGCCGCTCTTTTCATGGGGGACGACTAACACGTCGGTAAAGGTGTACATGGTAAGCAGTGGGCAAAAAAAAAGATATGAGGGATTGTGGAATTGTTTTCGTGAGATCACAGGTTTTGTGGTGATGAGTCGCATTGATCACGATAGTGAGCAGTGTTGAGGGGTAAGGATGACTTGCATACGACCTCTAGAGCCTCGCCTGCTGCGCATCCATTTGGCACCGAAGGCCCGCACCTCAATTTCTTACCGCCGTATAGTTGCTGTCACATGGATTACGACACGGACCTAGATGCTTCCGGCTCATCCAAGCTCCAAGATGTTGCTTGGAGGTGGGATGATATTTACGTTGATCTCCACACACGGCTCTCGGAGCTGTGCAGTGTAACTCAGCGAGAGAAGCAGCAAGCAGCTATTCAAGTAGAGAGGAGAAACGAAAAGTAGATGCCAAAGAGCCGATGAAGATGTTGATGGAGTTGCGCCGTGGTTGGGTGACAGTCCAGGTCCCGCGACCCAATCGGTGCTAGTCGCAGCCAGTGCCGAGCCGGGCTCAGAAACCTCATCGCAGCATCCTCAACTGCACCCGCGCTCCTTAGCTGCCCCATCCCGCAATCCATCTCCCCTCTACCACCATGTCTGCCGCTCGTGCCTTCAGCACCGCTTTCCGGGCGGGTGCGCCCCGCGCCCCAATGGCCGCCCGCTACGCTGCCACCCGAAGCTACGCTGCCGCCGCCGCCCCGACTGGCTCTGCCAACAAGCCCCCGGTTGCCCTCTTTGGCGTCGACGGAACCTACGCGAGCGCTCTGGTACGATTCTCACGACTCCAATTGGCATTCTGGCGATGATAGGCGGATGGAAAACGGGCCAATGGCTGGGGAACAAGAGCTTGGCTAACAATTGTGGCAGTACACCGCGGCCTCCAAGACCAACGCCCTCGACCCCACCGCAAAGTCTCTCCAGGCTCTCCAGGGCGTTTTCCAGAAGGACGCCAAGCTTACCCAGATCCTCCACGCCCCCTCGCTCTCCGTCTCGGACAAGCAGCAGATTGTCCAGGAGCTCCAGAAGCACATTGGCGGCGCCGACAAGGACGGCATTGTCAAGAACTTCCTCGCCACACTCGCTGAGAACAACCGATTGGGCGTACTTCAGGGTGTCGTAGAGAAGTTCGGTGTGCTCATGGGTGCGCACCGTGGTGAGGTCGAGCTGACCGTCACCAGCGCTGCGGTACGTTGATCCTGAGTTGGGATGAGAGAACAGGGCCCAGGGATAAAGAAGGGAACTGCTGGGATTCAGAACTGACAATGTGCAGCCCCTCGACAACAAGACCATCAGCCGCCTTGAGAACGCCATCAAGAACTCGCAATACGTCGCCAACGGCCAGACCCTCAAGGTCGTCCCCAAGGTCAACCCCGAGATCCGCGGTGGACTCATCGTCGAGATCGCCGACCGCACCATCGACAAGTCCGTCGCCGCAAAGATGGCCAAGATGAACAAGCTCCTCAAGGATACTTTGTAAATATAGAGCGAGAGCGCATGGCGATGGATGTGAGGGGTAGGCATGTGTATTCTAGATGAGTCTTGGAAAAGAGCAATTTACTACCGTCTACCACCTGGCGACGCGCCATGACCGACTGATGACTTGAGCTTGGGTTTATGAAGAAATACATTGAAGCAGCTGATATTATACAGAAGACAGTCAACTATCGCGCTCGTGTTCCACCAACATGTGTAGGAATGAAGGTGCCCTGCCAACGCACCGGATACCGTCTCAATATGTCCAGAACCGACAAATACCAGCCACCGAACGCGCTACAATACGCCATCACACTGGCACAGCCCCCATGTCAACCTAGAGAAAAGGTGAACACCCTGGGTTCTACGTCGATGTTAACACACCCACTTTGCGTGTACTCATCTTAATGTAGTCTGCAGACCCGTCCAGTTTTTCCCTTGCATGAGGTGGCCCCTACCTACCACGCGAATCTCCAAGACGTCCACCGACGTATTATTCTGTTCATACTTTGTTTTCCGGGTTGAAGTAACCAACTTTCTTCTAGTCGTCGAAGAGTCCTGGAAAACGCACGCGTATGCTCGGTAGCACACACGGCTCATCTCCATTGGCCGCAGTCCACGCAGCAGCATCGTATGGCTTCGGAACCAGATATTCGCGCTTCTCATACAAAGCTTTGGCCTTCAAAGTTTTGGCCAGGAAGGCATAATACTTTTCTAGTAGCTCGTGGAGGTGTTTTAGAGTATGTACCTCTTCGGTGGTTTCCTTTCCGGGACCTTCGTAAATGGGTTCGATCTGCAGGGAAGTTAGTATGCTTCAAAACTTGTTGCAACCTCAAATACTGTTTTTGAAGAGGTTGGATGAGATACGCAAGGTCATGATGTACTTACAATCATCAGAGGGAATTTCAGAAGCGAAATAGGTGTCGCTTCGATCTCGCGGATGTAGAGGGTTCGTTGGTAAGGAAACCCCTCAAGTGTGGACGCTGACGTTGTAGTCGTATTTGGCGACATCGTAGCTGTGGTTGAAGACATTGTAGTGTGCTTGGTTGATCGTGTATGCGTGCGGTAAATGGTATAGTTCTGGGAATGAAGAGAAAGTACGCAGGGCTCTTCATGGCTCATATACGATGTTCGCAGTGAATATTTGTCTCGATTCTGGCCATACATGGTTGGGGATATCTGAACTATGGTTCATCACCACAGCGCGGTGTAGCCACTTGGGAAGACAGCAGTGAGGCACTTCCAACCAAGGTCGTGGGTAGGTGTAGCATTTACTCTTTTTTTAAAAGATTCAATTCGATTGGGTATAACGTCGCATTCCTCAAAAACAGCGAATAGCAAAAAAAGATATCAAACAGCACTCGACAACAGCATCCTCCTCGGCGCGCTCCATCTCATCCCACTAAACCCACTCCGCAACCTCGACACAGCCTTCTTCACCCGACTCTTCCTCCTCCACCTCCTCGCACCCAGTTTCACTGTGAACGACCGCCCATCGCCTCCATATACTTCTTCAGTCCCACCCCCATCCCTGTTCAGCCATTTGGCGTAGTCTGGAGAGTCTGAAGCATCTGAAGCACCTGAGGAGTCTGGGGACTCTGGATGTTCGATCGCAAGACCGCCTGTGCATACTAGTTCTCCGTCGACGAAATGGGAGGATAAGGGTGTGGGGTAGTCGTCTGTCAAGGGATTTGATGGGGATTTGTCGTTGGTGGTGGATAGGTCTACTACGCTGTCGTTTCTTTGTGGCGATGACGACATTGTAGTGGGTGCTTCGGGCACAGCATCCCCGTAGCATGTCTTGAGCAGGGTATCTAGCTCGCTGTGGGAGGAGATAAGAGTTTTGCTGCCGGTATCGTTGGCTGCCTGTTTGTACTTGTCAGACAATCCCTCTTTCATGTTGCGAAATCTCGGGGTACAAGAGAGTATATTTACAATGAGAATGGGGAAGCGCAGACGAGTGTTGTCGAAACCTGGTGCTAAGGTTGCGATATGCCAGGTCTTTGGGTTGTGCGATCGTTGCGCGGGCATATCCATAGTTGTGGATTTGAAGGTATACTGCTTGGAAGGCATAATTTGTTCGTTGTAGAATGTTTCAAGGGTAGAGAGTTAAGTTGGTATGCAAGATAGGCACCAAAAAGAATATTTGAGAAATAGAAATAAACGCATGCCACATATTTACTATACGTGTCTCTAAAATGACTCCCTACTGCCGTATTGCTAACTGTAGTTCACTTATAGGCTCACGTGTAGGCAGACGAATGGAAGGACCATGGTTTTGGAGAGGAAAAGTGGATCAGCTCGTGACGTGTATCACGATGTCGCTAAGGAGTGGAAAATCAGGCGAACGGCGTCATGGGATTGCGCATGGGATCGCCATAGTCAGCATGGCGGAAATATGGACATAGCGACGAAACACTTTAGATCGAACAATTTGAATTCGAATGTGCGTGTGTGAAGACTGATGCCTACCCACCCTCCAATGACCAACCGATCAACTTAAGCCTGCCAAACATACTCCATGCCAACACAAGGCTCGACGCCCACCTTCTCGTCAACATCCATGACAGAGTCGCCATCTTCGTCCTCTTCATCGCAGACAGTGCCCCCGGCAAAGCTGCCTACATCTTCCATGATGATTTCCGAACCCACATTCTCATCCTCATCCCCGTCATCGATACGCGAACAGTCCTCACTCCCCTCACACCCACACATATCATCCCACTCCTTCTCCCACGGCCCCAACCCGTCAAAAATACTAACAGGGTTAACCAGCAACTTCTCCCGGGCTGCTTTGCCCGACCTGCCCCTCACTTCGCGGCGCAAGTTCGCTACATCACCCCAGCTGTAGACGATTGGATTGACCTCGACACCCTCATCCATGACCGTGGTTCCGATCTAGTCAGTAGGCGTTAGCAAAGCTCAACCATAGTCTGGCGACTGGGAGGGCGACTTACGATTTGTGCGGGATAGGAGGCGATGAAGTCTTTATCGGGTTGCCATGCTACTAGTATGCCGATGATGTGGTATTGTGGTAGGACTTTTTCTTGTTGCCTTAGCTCGTCGTCGTCGTCGGAGTCGTCGTCGGAGTCGAAAAGCGTCTCGGAGTCTGTATCGCACTCCGTGTCGGACGTAGCGCAAGAGAGGGTTGAGAAGACTCCTTGAGTCTCAGCCGATTTTGTTGTGAACTGTCTCGACATGATGTAGTAGATTAGGACTGATGTGATATTGTGTAGGAACTTGTGACGGGGATGTGTAGGCTTTTCAGGACAAAAGGTTCAAGACGGAGATATACTTTAGATAACTAGAGGCAAACCATGGGTCTATTGCTGACAATATATCATTATTGCTCACGTATCGTAACGCGCCAACGAGAGCGAGAGTGTTTCTAAAGGTGGGGCGCGAAAGCTAGAGTCATAGGATGCGCAATCGACTTGGTTAAACTTCACTGCAGCTTGCAGTAATTTCTGCCATGGTTTACTTGCCAGCGACACAGACTCACCTCAACAGCCATGCCTAAGAAACCAGCGATGCAGATACCTCCAGAATCACTCACACTAGTCGCGCCCAGGCTGAACTCCCTATCCTCTTTCGGCACGTTATCCGTAATCTCGGCAAAGGTGCTGACATAGACCAGCCCGCCTAGTAAACCTTCCCAGAAAATGATTACACAAACGATGTAATAGCTCGGGATAAAATTGAACATGGCGTGCAGTGTGAGGATAATGAGATTGGCGACTTGAAGAAATGACGGGACGTAAAGGTGGTGTATGCGTATGAAGGGCGTGGAGGATCGCGAGATGAAGACACCGACCTGGTAGATGGCGCCATAGGTGCTATAGAAGGAGCGGTATTCGTCGAAAGGAGAGGATTCGAGAGGGAAGAGCAGAGTGGGTGCGACACCTTGGTTGATGGTATACTCGGCAATGTAGACAAGAAGGAGGGGCAGCATGCTGTGATGAATTAGTCTGGAGCGGATGAGGTTTAAGGATCGGGCTTACTATGGGAAGAACAGGCCTCGCGCGCGGTTGAGGTTTGCGCGAAAGCTACTCAGCGCACTGTTAGCACCGGTGTTAGTGACAGAGGGAAAACTGCGCCCTGAAGCCGAGTGCATAGAGGAAGACAACAGGTCGTCTTGTTCCTGCGCCTGGCCTACTTCCTGTTCCTCATCGTCCCCGTGGTCATCGATGGCTTCATAGTCGCCTTGTTTCTGGATGCCGGCGCGCAGTGGGCCGAGCGGAAGGATAACGAAGAAACTCAGCACCATGATTAGCGGCAGGAAGGAAAACACGAGTAGACTTGTACGAGGGGTGATGCCGAGCGTGTTGGTCGCGATGGCATAGGCTCCGGCACCGATCAAGCCGGCGCCTCCCGTGCCTGAGCCCCAGGAAGCCAGAGCAAAGTGGCCGTAGTAATGTGTCAGGCCAAGGAAGCTCAGTTCGCCAGCTCCACTGCTCAGACTGGCAAGCATCACTCCGCACATCTTGATGGCGATGGTCCCTGAGTCCTGCAGTGGAGGCGTGAGGGCGATGATGAGCATGCCGCATACGGAGAGACCGAAAAATATGAAGATGCGCACATTGTAGGGGATCTTGTGGATGAAGTACGGGGCGCACAGTTTGGCCAGGAATGAGGGAATGACATCGGCGAGGAGCACGACGCCTTTGGGGACATTTGGGCCGACGAGGTCGAGTGCCGCGGAGAGGATGATTACGTAGAGGACGTTGTTGATGAGGCCTAGGCGTGTTAGTTGCGGTGGACCGGAAAGTGTTGGTGCCCCTCTTTGGGGGTTCAGGTGCATGCATACCGAACAACCAGAAGGCGGCGCACACGCGTGGGTCGGCGCCATGGAAGACAGCCTTGAGGCGCGCACGGTAGACGGCCCAGGAAGACGCAGGAGAGCCAGGCATGGGGAGGAGCGGCATAGGATGCAGAGGTTGGTGTTGCTTCACATATCGCAGGTTGGAGGTGAAAGCTACGGGCACGTGTCACGCGCCTCAGATGACGAGGGGCAGCTGCTGGCCGTGCCGGTGTTGATGGCTGGGCTGGACTCGGACATGGATGGGTGCACCTGCCGATCGGGCTTGGCGCGAGGCGGTCAACTGGAAGGAACGATTCAGGAACAGGCTGCATGGGAACGGGCGTCGCATGTTCCGACGAGCATGGGTATTTCTTTTTGTGCGCAGAGCGGGCAGTCTGGGCGGGGCTACGACAAACTATGGCCAGGGGCTCGCTGATATACGCATCATCATGCGCCAGAGGGCTTTGTGTCGAGCAAACGTCTTGTGGCCTTGTGGGCGTGGTGTAGGCGCTTTGTGGGAAGCAGCCCTATCACATCGTCAGTGCCTGCCCTCTAGTCGGGCTCTCGCTTTCGCTGCATGCGGGGCTGCGCTAGAAACCTACAGGGATCGTGACGCTTGGTCCCATTGCGCCTTCTCGTTTCCTCGCATGCTCGAGGCTTCTTTTCTTCTGCAATACTGCAGCTCGCTCTGGGCCGCACCCCTCCACACGACGACGACCATTGTACTCCCCATACTACGCTAGCGAGCGGGAGCGTATACTGCTATCCCGTACTTGCGACACTTTCATCCTCACCACCTCTCCGATGAGCCCAAGCCGACTATGGACCGCCCGCCGCCCTACCAACGACCACCAGATCGCCCTATGAACTACCACCCGCAGACGACGCAAGCCTACCCAGGCCACCCGCCCGCCTCACAACCACAATCGCAACAGCCACTCCACGCTCCGTATGCTGTCGACCCGTACTCGATGCCCCGGCGCGATCCGTTCTTTCCTTCGGGACCACAACACGTTCGACGCAGTAGTCAAGGACTACCGGCTGGTAATAATGCGCCGCAAGGCCAGAATGAAGGACAAGGACAGGGTGGCTGGTCAAATACAGGTACGGGCTACCATTTCCACAAATGTCTTGGAGAACACATCTGCGCAGGACGCACTGAGGAAGGACGGTCTGTGTAGCCTGGACATGCATGTGTACAATTTTTGTAGCTCTCACCAGTTCACAAAAGGTGCCCAGGCCATCCAGGCTGCATTCTGACCTGTATGTCTCAAGTCTGTGGCACCGCTCGCGTGGCTGTCTGGTGCTCGACGAAGGCAAGAGACGGTAGTGGGAAGGCATTGCCTGCATGGATGGCTGCATGACACGTCAATTGCGAAAAAGCACTTCACCGCCTGTCGCCGTCATATCGACGCAGGCAAATGCAGGCAGTCTTTCCTTACTAGTGTCGCCATGCCATCCCGAGCCACACCAACATCTGCGTTGCTCAACGGTGCGCGCCATCTGTCGGTGGAGATGGCATGGGTCTGGCGAATTCTATGGCGCACTCCGCAGATGTGGCTCCTAGCTAATGCACGATCCGCGGGCCTCTAAACCTCTTTCGAAAAGTCGCGACTCGCCGTCCGAGCTTGTGCTGATCCATGTCTTTAGCGCGACCGATACACTACGAGACTCATCACTCCCAGTCGCACCCTCCACCGCAAATGTCCACTTCCAACAACCCGTCAGCCCCAGCGCCCTATAGCTTCGATGCTGCGCGCGCCTCGTCGCTGAACGCTGCCAGTTCGCCGAACCCCTATGGTACAGCCCCGCTCCCAAAAGCAATGGTCAAGCTTTGTCCCAAACTAACTCTCCTCCAGGCCCGTCTCACGAACCTCCACCTCCACCATCCTTCGCGCGGCCCCAAATGCCTCCTCCATCGTCCCCCACACAGCAGCATCTCCATGCATCCCAGTCGCAGCGTCCACAATACCCCTCCAACTTTGGCGCCAACAGAGAGCTTCCTGGTCTAGGTCAGGCGTTGCGCCCGGGAAGCAGCATGTCCATCTCATCTCTTATCGGCGGCGGCGGTGACACAGGTGCACTCAACCAAACAGCGCAATCACAGCCCTCGCCTCCCACAAACGCCCCAGTACCCAACGGCCACAGCATGCAGCCACCTTCGCCTCGACGTGGCCTGCCCGCTGGTTCGCGGTCGGATTTCCCTCTGTTTCGCCGTCAACCCACCCCAGAACGCAACATGTACGGCAGCAATACCTCGCGGCCATCTGAAGGCCATGCCTTTTCGGCTGGCTCTCCCAGACAGTCCTACAGCAACCATGGCTCGCCTGATCCGGGCCGCCAGTCGCTGCCACCAACGACACAACCTTACAAGCCCATGAACTTCGCCGGCCACCGCCCCTATGCGCAGGATACAGGTCGACAGCCTGCCGGGAATGTTCCACCCCGACCGAATAGCCAACCGATGGGCCCTCTGGCAAACACCGAACAAGAAGGCAGATCTTCGTACGACGGATTTCCAGGCCGGCGCAACGCTTATGGGCCAAACGAGGAGCGGCGACGCACACTGGGGGAGTCGCATCACGCAAGGCCCAATGCTGCAGAACTCTTAGCAGGCACAAACCACAATGCTTCTGAGAGGGATCGGCCCGTGACTGTTCACCCTGTGTCGCAGTCTGGCTTCAGTCCACCGCAGGCGCAGCGCAACATCTCTGGCTCATCCGAACCTCCACGCAGTCTGTGGCGGCAATCAGCGCCTACCGGTGCTGTCCATGAACCTCCTCATGACAGTCGCGCAGAGGAACCTCCGCCGATGCATCGCACCTATGGCCCGTACCCCCCATCCATGCTGGGCGCTCCCCGATACGGCGCCCAAAGTTCAGAGGATATGTTGCGACGCAGTGTAGACCAGTTGGGCCATCGCGTAGTCGAGCAGTACCACGCTCCTCCTACCTCCGACCCCAACTCCCTAGAGCGACAGAGGACCGAGCCACTCGCACGCTCTCTATCCTCCAGCGGAAGATCGCTCTACGATCAGCCTTCCAGGATGGGCGAGGCCATGCAACACTCGAAATCGCACATTGGCTTTGGTTTGGAGGCGAGCAGACGAACGGGCAGAGCGTCTCCGCTTCCACAGGCTGTTCAAGGTGCCTCAGCGCAGCCCTTGTCCGTTGGCAAAGATCCTGGAATCAAGAGCGAATTCGGGCGCATGTTCTCCGGTCTCGGCAGCGGGCTGGGATCGACGACCCCATCGCGGGGAAGTCCCATGCCACAGAACGGCCAGGGCTCATTCGAATCGGACAACGGCGAAATGATGAGAAGAATCGGTTCCCAGCAAGGAAGGAAGCCGAAGCGAGTCAAGGATGAGGAGGGAATCTTCGACATCGAGAATGCTGATGGTAGAGGAACACCCGGTGCGCGTGGGACCAAACGGAACAAGCACCATCATCATCAGTGAGTTCCCTCTTTGCCATAGAAGATGCGTACTAACAGCATAGTCACCACCATCACCACCACCACCAACACAAGCCTGACGAAGACACGTCGATCCAGCCAACCTCAACTACCATTAACGGGCGACACCCCAGTCTACCACAAGCTGGCCCAGGCCATTCAGTCCATCACCACCATCACATTGCAGGAAACCCTCATCACCACCATCACCACCACCACGCCCCTCGACCTAACCATCAGCCGTTGCAGCAAGTAACAAAGATCCTGACCAAGGTCCATGACGTACAGCCTGTTCTTGACGACGCTGCGAAACGCCCTCGCAAACATCTTGGATCACAGCTGTACGATGCAAAGACAGAACTGCCCAAGCCCAACTCATCGTTAGATGACCAGTTCGGATACGCCTCGAAACCTCAACGGCTGCCTCGTTTCGACGTCAATCCCATCAATTGCACTTTTACTATCAGAGTGCCGCGTTACTACCTGAAGCCACGACAACGCCAGCACGTCGTGTTAGAGAGGCATCTTTGGGGTGCGCGCGTGTATCGCGACGATTCAGATCCTATTGCTGCTGCGATCCACTCTGGATGGATCCGTGGTGAATGGGATGATACTGTCGACGTCACTATGCTCGACCCACGCATCACTGCGCCCAACGACCCAGCCGATGCTGCTGACGTTCTAACGAAGGTGCCAGCGGCCCCTGTGACACCACCCGCCGATATGGACTTGCAGATTGAGATACTCATCTTGCCACAACTTCAGGAGTACACCGGTTCCGTCGAATATGGCATCTCGAGCAGGAAGAGCAAGGCTCATGAGGGTCTCAGCTTCATGATCAATAAGATTCGATGGGTTGAGGAAGGCATCGGCAGCCGAGGACAGGAACGAACAGCAGCGGCATTGAAACGACGATTGGATGCCAGCGCGACTCTGCTTGCTTTGCAAAGGGGAATCGACAACACGCACAGGGTCAATGGCATGACCAAACTACATGCTTGAGATTTAGTTGGATGGATCAAGGTCCATGACATATAACGGCCGTCTGGATAGTGATTTAGCATGGCATTTGTAGCGCAGGATGATTTTAGCATTGCTAGATACCCGCATCTTTTATAGCTTGACTCTGGCGTAGGATTGCACATAGCGTCGGCGAATTCTGGGAAACGATGTAATGAGGTGTTGCACACGACATGAAAAAAACTTTTACTTTTCGCATTATCTATCTGCGTTGATGAGTGCTTTTCCAACGGTACGCCTATGGCTGCAATGCGTTGTTATCAGGTCAGCCACACGTGGGGAGAGTGGTAACCAATCCCGCGGCGATCACACACCGCAGTACCAGAGCGATAGCGGCCTGGACGTACCCCGGGCTTGCGTGTACGCACCTTAAGCAAGAGCAGTCTATCCCATTTGCGTGGTGCGCATTTGATCCTTCAACCTTCAACGCCCAGGCGACAGATCGCGAGGTACACGAAACTCTGGCAGCCCACTGCCCCGCCACGACGAAAGCTTACGTGACGCCCTCATCACAGCGCGTACAATAACTGATGTCAACGATGCATCACCGGACTTACTCCATATCGACTGTAAGTAGTCTTTTTTCCTTGCTAGGATCTCCAGGATGCACCATTGTTTTTTTGCCGATTTACGACG